ACAAATCCCCCCTTGACACTTGTCTCCACCCACTCCACCCTGTCTGCACTCTCTTCCTCACCCCTCTTGTGCGCTGTCCTTTTGCACTGGTGGTGGGTTATTTGAACATTTATAATTTGAACATTCATAATTTCACTTGTTGCTGTCACACAGACACATCTGCCTGTGCTTTGAACCCTGCAGACTGTACATAACAGTAGACGCAACTTCTGTTTCTGAAAAGTGAAACTAATGTGGACGTGCTTGGAAACTTAAGAGAGAGCCTCCATGTTTCTCTGGGTTTATACGCATGCAGGGAGCAGGTTAATAAGGATGACAGAAAAAAAAGAAAAAACAGAACTGGATATTAGTGCAGGCACACTAAGGCTCATGTAACACCTCAGCAAACACATTTGAAATGAGTTTTACAGTTTCAGTTGCTAGTTTCAGCCATTAAATAAAACACGGTGTTCGTTTTGTACATCATGGTGTATTTGGAGTCAAATAGATGATAAAGCATGGAATTAAAACCTTTGTCTTATGTTGTCTGCAGACCAAAGCAAAGTTTTAATTACATACAGTGTCTACTGCAAAGCAAAGATACAATCGGCCCAACTTCATTCACAATAGTGAGTACACATCATTCTCCCCAGCTTCAGAGAGGAGCACAAAGTGTGAAGAAGTTGGTGCTCTAGCAATTTGACCTAGATGATTTTATCAGGGAAGTCATAAAAAATACATTGTAAGTACATAAGTACATCCACACTTACTTGATTGCAGCTTTTGTACTTTGAAAGGAAGTATATCTTTCTTTCCTATTGCATCAGATATTAATGGGTTGAAAATGAGTGTGAGTAATGTTAGGTGAAACAGTTTAGCGTGTGGCGTCTGGAGTAGCATGCAGTATCCTCAAAATATATCCAGCTTTTGTAAGTCAAAGTGCTCCGGTCAAGGTTTCAGAAGGGTTTTTTCCACATATAGCAGACCACTGAGATCTGAAGGATGAAGAAAACCTTGGAGATTTTAGTAAAGCTCTGAATCAGCTGTTGGAAAATTTCTCATCTCACGTGGAAATACAAGCACCCGTGTTTTAGTGATGGAAGTAATTATTGAGAAATCTTTGCTTTATAAATCTTTGATTTCACGGCTGAAAGCGGCACAGCCACTTCTGATTTCCTGTATGGCTTGTTTAATGCTGAGGTCCAATTATAATGTCTCTTTTCATTTGAGTTTTGAATTTACTGGCTGTGCCTGGATCGCCGCCAGCGAGCTCTGGCTCCTGCTGTAAACAGCCAGGTTTAAACACTCCACTCAAGCTGACATGGTTCAGTAGCTGTGTCGAGCCCTAATCGACGTGCAGTCCAGTAGAGCTTGTAAACGACCCTTACTGCATCCTCCTGGTTCAGACTGAAATTCTGATATTGGCTGATTGTCAGTATTGGTTTAATATTCAAAGCGAAAAGAAGAATATTATCGGAATCTATTATGATTACATGCGATCAGCTGTTTTTATCATCCAACTTTGTAATAATTCTGCGTTTCTGTTCAATTATTTATTTATTTTGCACAGAAAAGTTAACTTCTGTTTTTCACAACATACTAAATGACATAAAACATTAGAGCATTAGAAGAGTATCAGCACGGATCTTGAAACACCAAATGGTGCATACTCTCATCTCTTAGTCCGATTAAAAGTTTGCAGGGTGTAACGGTCAGCAGAACTGAAGAGAAATCAAATGGGGTTGACTGGTCAAAAGGGGATGTCTCATCACACTATTGTAGCTGTTCTCTATTGTGCCGTCGTTGTCTCCAAACGATGACAGCAGTCACTCTCAGACATGTTGGGAAAGGTGTTTAAATAACTGCCATCTGATTTATAAATGCTAACACGTTAAAATCAGTTACCAGGTGGGTCAACCTGAATCCCCCCCTGTAAGGTGTAATACTTAAAAAAAATAAATCATTGGCAGTGAGTGCTGTTACCCGCTGTCAGTGATGGGTTTTGAACCCTGCAGAGAGTGGCTAACTTGTCACTGATGAGTGAGGTTGCCAGTTCAGAGGCCACAGGGGTTGTGTTATGTGTTCCGCCAAAGATCCCCCAACACCCTCCCCCTCCTGCACTCATGTATATATCTTTCTACGTAGCACTCATAAGTCTTATTCTCATGTATATATCTCATGTATATCTCATGCACATATCTTTCTTTCTACATAGCACTTTAATTCTTATTGTTTGCACTGAAGCACCGCAGCAATTTCCTAATGTTGTAAACCTCAACATCTGGCAATAAACCCCATTCTGATTCTGATTCCTTTGCTCCATCATAATTTGCTAACTTAATCCCCCCCCCCCCCCCCCCCCCCCCCCCCCCCCCCCCCCCTCTCAACCAACTGCAGCCTCCTCCCTTTGAAACCTGCTGGAAGCGGGAAGCGGCTCTGTCTGCCTGCACCTGTTTCGATTAGTAGCAGAGGGAACTTTATTATATACTAGATCAAATTCACATCTCAGAAAGATACAGAGCTACTTTTGTCCTGATCCATGCCAGTGTGTCATGTTTCAACATTCCCCCAAGATCTTCTAGAGCTACGTTGTGATGTGAAAAAACGGGTTCAGGGATTCAGATGAGCTGCAGAAGCTTCCGTCTGAAGCAATTAGGGTCAACAGCCTGTGTTTGGAGTTGATGGGGATTGTGGACACTTGTAAAACCACATGTAAGGTTTTCTTTTCTGCTGACCTTGCGAACCCAGACCTTGCAGTGATCTGGTAAAGATGCAGTGGTAAGGATTGGTGGCTCTCAGTCTCTGTAGGAAATGCAGGCATTGTATTGTCTGTAGGGGGGAGCTGGTGATGGCAGACCAATTGAGATCTTTGGGGATGTGCGTGCCAACATATTTACTTCTATCTCTCTGAACGTCTTGTGAGATGATTCACATTATTCCAACGATGAACAGCTGACTGTAATGTAAGACTTGCTGCAGGACCCTAGCCAAGGTTATGTGACTGGTGTCATGTAAACATGAACATGAATGCAGCTTTTTCATGCTCAGTCTTGTTGTTCACATGTCATAGAGTCACACGGTGCATTTTGATGAGATGTGCTGAATGTAAACAGAATTTTGCTTGTTTACAAGAAAACACCACGGGGCACCATTACCTCTGGATGTAAAGTCATTTTGGCGAAGAGGTTCCCGCTCCCGCCCAGTCTTTCATGTTCATTCACACAGGTGTGTAACCCATGCGAAGTCCTCTGTTAATGTAGTTTTCCCTCTGGCTTTAATGAGGGGGTGTGTCTGATTTTGTCATTTGCATAGCGGGCCTGCAGATTTGAATATTTTGCCATTTTCCTTTTGCTCCCTCAGAAGACGAGACATTTCTGCCACCAGCTCTACCCTCCTCCCCCGCTCAAGACATGATCCGATTTGGTTTTAGAGTACCTGTCTGCATTCATTTGCATGTTAACGACCATCAAATATGTATGATACAAGCATCATATTTATACCACGTGCACTTCCTATAGAGTAGGCTCATTACCTTGTGAAGCAGCTTGTGCATCCATTTACATATTCTTCATGGGAAATATGAGGCATTTTAGCAACCCCTTATTTGTAAAGTGGTCCAATAAGCCCAGGCTCTGGTTGGCACTAAAATGCCAAATTTAAATGGGACCTAATATATTCTTGGACTCTACTAGAGTAGCTTTGCTTGATTAACTGTTTAAATAATACTGGGCTTTGGTACTGTCCGCAGCTCCATCCACTGTCAGACGAAGCGGTTTGAGGTCCTTTCCTTTTAGCTGCTCAATCGATGTAGAAAGCCAACCTCCTTGTGGCTAGGCAAAATTGTTGGTTGGCTGGTGATTGGTCACCAAGATGTTGAGCATGCAGCACCCAAAAGCTCCTGGGCAATCACTTTCAATAGCGTGGTGACTGCACGGGTTGCGGTTCGAGATTAGGGAGGGTTTGCAAATAATCTCCATCTTATTTATAAATGCTGGCAGATTCCCAACACATTACAATCAGTCTGTGCAGTCGGTACTGATGAGTGCAACTCATCTGCAGTCTGCTTCATGGAAAAATTGGGACTTTACTCAAATGGAAGTATTGTGCAAGATTTCCGAGTGCTAATGTAATTTTGTGGTTAAATTACTGTCCTGATCGCAAATGGTCACGCTGCAGTCTCCAGCCACTATATTCCCTTGTGTGACTATAGCACTAGCAAACTTTGTTCTGATTGGCTGCCCCTCACAAACAGATTTGCAGTTGGAAGTGTATGAAAAAACTATGTAGAACATTTTCCAAAACTCTAAGTGTGTGTGTGTGTCTGCCTGTATGACCGGGGGGAAAAAGAGAAAATATAATAAGTTCCTTAAACTTCTGTAAGATTATTCTTGCCCTTTGTGCAAACAGCATGTATAAAGAGATAAAATAAAATAAAAACATTTACATGGACGGATGAAAATGATAGAAATAATTGTGTTGTCTGTTACCTGTTGTGTGCATTTTTACTGAAACACGAGCTGAACTTAAGCAAATTCTCTGCCAGTGAGAATGAAGACACGAAGGCGGACTTTGTTCTCGTATTTATGCCGGGAGACTGATGTTCACCCACCAACTTAAAAGGGAGGACTGTTTCTGCACAGATGCTGGGCTTGCCTGCTGCTGTGTGATTTCTGATGTAATCTTCCCCACTGAGCTGGATTGATTCTGTTATTCCTTCAGTGGGTGGGCTAACAGGCCTGCCAGGCAAGTCTTTGCCGTTAATGGAGCATAGTTGTGTGGTGGAGTCGGGGAGAGCCCATAGGAGCTGTCATACTTTAGTTCAATGTAGGTTAACGCTGCTCACAGAGGCAACACAACGCCACACGGACTCTTTTGATCAGTGCCCCATGAAAGGGTTTTCATACAGGACAGTAAAACAGTTACATTACACCACATATCCAGAACTCTTGTGGTTTGGCTAAAACTTTGTGCCTCACTCATGAATTTTTCATGAATCCTTGTGTTTCTTTGTATCCTGTTAGAAACTGGCTCAGCTATTACTTCCAGTTGTATCGGTCTGGGAAACTCACTCACGCCACCTGCAGGCCAAGCTGGCAAACCGGTTCCAGGTTACAATGGTAAGAAATGACCTCTTTGTATTCAGTGTGTTACCCCCACGATTACAGCGTGAGGGATATCAGGGCAAAAGTGTTCTTAGTCTTCTGATTGTAATTCCCTGTCTTACGTTTAAGCTTTTTGCGCTTCCAGTTTGCCAGCGGGGGGCTAGAACCACCTCTGAATTTGAAATGCACTCTTTTCCCTTTCCTCTAGTCACAGTGATCGATGATAACATGCAGGAGGTGAAGCCAAGAAGTCTGGGAAATATTGTGGTGAGGTAAGCCAGGTGCATATGTTCACAGCAACGTGAGTGGCTTAGTTATCGCTTCATCTTTCTTTCTTCTGGGCCTCTTGGACACGGACATTAAAGATATTATATATTTGCTCTTTGTACACAAGTGAAATGTGGACTTTGAATCTTTTAGTCATTAAGGGTAATTATTCCCTTTTGAAAAACAAGCATATGACTATAAATAGCACTCACTTCTATTGCTGGAGTTGGGAAGGCAGGGTGTACATGCGCGTCTTCATGAAAGAGAGTTACCTGTGTTAAGTGGACTTCATCAGGAAGCTATGACTCGCTTTGCAGGCGTATCTTCCAGACTTCTACCTGTCTGTTATCACTTCACTCCTTTGTTCTTTGTAATTGCTGGTATTGACTCAGTGCTAACGGGGATTTCCAAGGACTCCATGCTACAGTGCATCCTGAGATAATGATAGGCAGAGCTACACTCAGACAGGAACAGCTGTGCTATTGTACTTGCTTGTTGTATCCAGAAAGTCTGTGCCAGCCAAAACTCAAACAGCTTCATAAAGTTGTGTGAATATTTACAGAGTAAGCTTACAGGCAGGAGGGAGAGTCTGTGAAATGTGTGATGTGGCTAAGAGATGTGTTACAGCTCTTAGCCACCAAAAACATGAACAGATTAAATAAACAAAGTGGCTGCAGGTTTCTTTTTAGCCTTTTTAACCCCCCTTTTTTCGTCAATAACAATTTAAAAGTAGCTTAATAGAATATATTAATCAGATTTAGACTATGTCTTCGAAGAATCAGGCCTTTAGATTTAGAACTCACATGAGTTGACATGGAATGCACTCTCACTGCTCACTATATTAGGTACACCTTGTATTACTGGGTTGTACCCCCCCGTCTGCATTAAAAACTGCCCTAACTCTTCATTCTTCATGGCATCGATTCAGTAATGTCCTGGAAACATTCCTCAGAGATTTTAGTCCATATTGGTACGATAGCATCTCACAGTTGCTGCTGATTTGTTGGCTGCACATCCATATATCCCATTCCAACAGATACTAAAAGTGCTCTATCGTACTGAGATCTGGTGACTGTGGAGGCCATTTGAGTACATTGAACTTATTGTCATGCATACAAAATCAGTTTGAGATAATTTAAGCTTTGTGATGCAGCACGTTATCCTGCATCAGCCATCAGAAAATGGTTAGACTGTCGCGATAATGGGACGGACACAGTCGGCATAAGTACTCAGGTAGGCTGTGACATTTAAATAATGCTCAAATGGTACTAAAGGGTTCAAAGCGTGCCAAGAAAAGATCCCTAACATCATTACACCATCAGCGTCGACCTGAATCATTGATACAAAACAGGATGGATCCACGCTTTTGTGCTTGTTGTTTAAACTAAATTTCCAGCCATCCATCTAAATGTTGCAGCAGAGCCATGTTGGCAGCAACAACCATGCCACATTCAAAGCCACTTTTCTTCACTATTTTGAGACTCGCTTTGAATTTCGGCAGATTGTGCTGACCATGTCTGCATGCCTAAATCCTCTGAGTTTCTACTATGTGATTGGCTGACTTACTGTTTTTTAAAATGTTATTAAAAATCTGTAAAATGTAAATTCTTTAGACACCATAATGGAATTTGTTTGTTACAGGATTGTTGCATAAATTGAAATGTTCTGCTTGTAGTGAATAAACCCATGCAGAGGGTTGTTTAGTTTAAAACCTGGGAAATTGGGCCATTTGCTCAAGAACCGGGTCTTTCCTGTCTCCTTTTAAACAAACGCTGAGTTTTATTGTAGGACGAGCCCTTTACTGCCCTTTAACGTTGGATACACTGACTCTGAGTTTAAACAATAAATCATTAATTTATCTAGGTAATTTATCTGTGTTGCTATATAGAAGCTGTCATGAATCAGACTTTTTCATACAATTATCTGAATTAATTTTGTACTTCTTCTTTAAGATTGCCTTTACCACCTGGGGCAGCATTGTCTTTATGGCAGAATCAAGATCTGTTCAAGAAACTCTACTTCACAAAGTTTCCAGTAAGCTGTTTCATAATTACTTTAGAAATTCTCGCTGGTCATCGAGTCATTGGGATTAATTTATATGTGACTGTCGGTATAGTGCAAAAGACTATTTCCCTTTTTTATGTGTTCTTGCTATATTTAAATAGTCAAATTAGTCACAAAAGAGCGGAATAATAAAGACAATAAAGAATTCGCCTTCAGCACCCCTGACTAATTCAGTGATTCTTGAACCTTTTCCAGGATTAATCATTTAAAAAGCTTAAAAAGATTTAAAACCTGTATTTATTTGAACAGTTTAAGCAAAACACCCACCCAAACTCCACAGTGAATTTTAGTAAAACAAAAAAGTCAGTTGTTTGTTTAAAAAATTATTATCCACACCCCAGCTGCAGAGGCTTTGTGGACCACAGTTTGACAAGCTGAAATAATATAGGAAGAGGTGTCCCTCTAGTGTTAGACATGTTGCATTGCAGATCAACTTTAGGTATTTGTAGCCCTTAAACGTGAGTGATGTTTAAACTGTCTGGATGAATTGACTTTAAGCTGCTCTTTTAATCTGATCCAAATGTGACTTAAGGGATTCTACGACACCATGGATGCTGGTTTTATGGATGAGGAGGGCTTCCTTTACGTCATGTCCCGGTCTGATGATGTCATCAACGTGGCAGGCCACAGGCTCTCTGCTGGAGCACTGGAGGAGGTATCAGAGCAGTTACAGGTGTTGATGAAGAGGATGCGAATGTTTCTCTGAGGGTTATAATTTGTGTTTTTTTTAACAGTCAGTGCTGCAGCACGCTGCAGTGGGAGACTGTGCTGTGGTAGGGCAAGAAGACTCTCTGAAGGGTCATGTTCCTTTGGCTCTGTGTGTGCTCAAGAATGGTGAGGAATACTCACTGGGTGTCATAATTTTGCAAGGAATTTAGGGCATAAAATAAAACTACCCGGCGGTATTAACGTTTTATGCTTTGCGCTACACGTCTCAGGTGTGCAGAAAACGGAAGAGGAGATCGTGAATGAGATCGTGAAACTTGTGAGAGACACCGTCGGTCCAGTGGCTGCCTTTAAGAAAGTGCTCTTTGTCCGCGGGTTGCCAAAGACACGTTCTGGAAAGATTCCTCGCTCCTCTTTATCCAATCTGGTCAATGGCAAGCCCTACAAGGTAAGACTCAGCTGTTAAGGACACATGTAGTGCATTATTATCATTAAACACAAGTAGATGCTGGAGGATAAAATCTCTGAATGAAATTTTTTTTTTGCTTTTGCAAAGGCTTTACAGCAACTCTGGAGATGGTAATGCTAATTTTGCTACTTAGAATTTGAGCGACGATGGTGCATTAGTAAACCACACACTCACTCAAAACAAAATTGTGGCTCTTTTGAGTTTTCAGTCTCAGTAGTCTCCAGGAGAGAATAACTTGAGAATACCTCCTCATATGGTGGATTTGTCAACAGATTTTTCAGCTGCACAAAACGTTTCAGTGTGACAAGGATTTCTGCATTGATTCCTCAGAAAACATTCTGTTTGTTGTTGTTTTCATGCATTGTGCCTTCACTGGGCAGGAGGAAGAACACACGGCGCCCACTCTCTCGCTGTGAATTTTCTGGACTATTACTTGTGCTATTTATCACCATCAAAGTTGTGCTTTGGACTAGAAACCTGGCAGCTTCAAGACCATTAATATCAAAATAATAATATCAAAAATGTCTTCAAAGGGGGGAAAAAACTGAGGACTAAGTGGGTGTATTGCAAAGATCAGACCAAGAAGAGAGCGTGCATCTGAAAAAGGTAGAAAAAAGAACACAAGGGTAACAGCAAAAGACCCGCAGGAATCTTTAACTTGCTAAAAATACTCATTAATGTGCCCATCATAAGGAAATGTCTACTGACTTATCAAAATAAAAGCAAAAACTCCAAAAATAAATATATTAAAAGAAAAAAGAATAAATGAACCACTTAAAAGGTAGTTTCAAAATTCTTATGCGTTTTTTTTTTCCACAGATCTCTCCAACTATTGAGGACCCGGAGGTGTTTAAAGACATCGAGAAGCAAATAGAGAGAGCGTTCAGACACGGTGCAGCCTGAGTTCATCAGTGGGATGCCAACTGGACAGTCTGAGCAGTTTCTGGCAACACAAAAGTCACTCCATTAATAATAAGTGTGCAAAAATGCTCATGCTACGCACAAAGTGCTGCAAATGTGAGCACAATTTCTCAGTGAAATAAGAAACTTTTCTTGTTTTCTAAATTAAGAAAAGGTAGACATTGATGTCTAGCCTTTGGAAACCAGTCCAGATCCACACAAGTGGATTCATATTTCTATTTTGAATGGATCATACAGTTAGATCTAGAAATAATTGAATAATCATTTTTATGATTCTGGCTATCAGTCATGAAACAAAAGTAATGCAACTAAAGTGCAGACCTGTGTGTTTAATGCAAGGGAGTGAACAAAAACGTCATATGAAGCATTTAGCATTTGTTAATGTAGTCACTTTATGTTACTAACAAAGGCTAAATCCAAATGAATGAACAGCTTTAGCTGGAACGGCGTGTTGTTTGTTCTCGTTTTGATTTTTGGATACATTTTGGCTGCCGAGTTGGCATTTTGTGGTGCTTTTTCTCACAAAGGCATCACAAAAAGGGGAGCAATACCATAAAAGGGGGAAATATTTTTTACTACAGAACAAAAAGTAAATGACACACACACAAAACAACAGCTTGTAAACAAGCCCCCTATACTGCTACTATATGTGTATGTAATTTTTTTTTTAAAGTCCGTCCAATTAACGCACTTTCAGGCTGTGAGATCGAACTGAATGACTAACCCTGTGTTATCAGAATCAAATTATTAACATTTTGATGAATGTTATTATAGTTAAAACTACAACTAGAGGTGAAAAAGTTGACTGAAATTCAAAGCTAGACTTTTGAAAAAATAAAAGCTGAAATGATTGTGAACAAAAACATACAAATTTTCCTAAATCTTGCCCCGAGGATATGCCCTCCATACAAATTTAACACTGAAACTAATAGAAACTAACCTAAAACTAAACATTTTCAAACAATACAAATTAAATGAGAAAACCCAAACTAACTGGAAATCAAAAACAATTCATGCAAAACAGGGTTACATTACAGAATAAAGGTGCCATATTCATTATAACATAAAATTGTTCTGCCCTTTGTATATGTATTGAAAACAACATAATAATAATGTGAATGCAAAGTATGGCTTTGTTATTCATGAAAAATAATGAAGACTCATTGACAGTATTTTCCTTTTTTTTGTTGTTTTATTGACAATGAAAATTTGTTTGCTCACCACTGTTTCGACCAAAGTACAAGAAGTAGTAAATAAAAAAAATAAAATAAAATAAAGGGGGGGGGGGGGACAGGACACAAAATAAAGCGATTTGTTGTTCGTGCAAATCGAAGAAATTAAAATGAAAAATTAAAAGCTTTTAAGACTTGATTTTGAGTCGTCCGTCGGAAATAACTAAAAGACAGATAACAGGGCAGCACGGCAGGTCACCCTGTGAAAACTGACTGAAAACAAAGCGTCAACGATTACACCAAATGTAAGTCACAGCAAGCAACAGGGTTTTTTTTTGTTTGTTTGTTTTGTCATTAAGTCACCTCACTTCAACATGGTCATATACACTCTACACACACTATGAGCTAAAGCAGTCTGTCTTTCAGTTATTTCATCTGTTTGTCTGAAAGGAGGGAGGAGGGGGGGAGAAGGCCAGCTCGGCTAAAAGTGTAGTTGTCCTTTTTGTGTAAATGCATCGCCTGACGAAACATACAGTACAACAAGTGACATGTTCTATGTATGACGCACTGCCTCTTCTTTTTTCCCCCCTTTGATCTCTGAGAGGAAGTTTTGTGCGACTTCAGAGAGCATCGGCGTCTCTTTTATTTTGTCCTTGGCTACTAAATAGTCCGTTGAGTTGATGCGTTTTTGTTTTTTATTTGTTTTTTGTTTTTTTTTTAAAGAAAGTGCTTGTCATGTTTTTCCTGCGTGTCGACACATCCCCTCAAAATGCTTTTTTAAAAAATGAGTCCATAAGAAAGGATCACGTAGTTGCTAGAATGGGGACTAGAAGTTGTTTTTTTCCCCACCACTAGAGGGTGTGTTTTGCCACAACATCCAGTCTCTTCCTCTCACTTTATGGTGCAGCACAGGATCATCATCGTCATAATTATCATTATCATCATCATCAGCAGCAGCACAATGAAAAAATAAAACCATATGTACAAAATGATCTAGAGGGATGGGGTAATATGTTAAGAGCAGCATATAGTAATCTATGGTCCACTAAATGAGGTGGCAGAGATGGTTTTTTTTTGTTTGTTTGTTTTGCACAAACTGAATATCTTTTTATACATGTGTTTGTGTGTGTGCATATATATATATTTATGTGTGTGCATATATATATATATATGTATATATTAAAAATGGCATATTTATATTAATTTACAGATAACCTACACATCTCCTGTAGAAGAAATACACAGTACATTATGCTTTGACAAGTAACTGTACATGTAAAAGGTAGAAATGGGGCAGCCTGCAGGACAGTTTAGCACCGGCGTCTGGTGCCCACATTATAGGGGACGAAAAGGGGTTGTGGATGTGGGGGTGGTGTTAGAGAGGAGAGCAGGGCTTCTTGGCAGTGCGTGTCAGAATGGTTCACTCCTCAGCAGGTTTCACCCGTCCAGCAGCTCCACTAATTAGTCTCCTTTCAGAACTGCACCTTAAGGGGAAACAGTGAGTAAATTTTAATGAGAGAGCACTTAGTTATTTCTACCCCATTTTTCGATGTTTCGAGATGAACCTTTGACCTTTCTTGTAGGTATCAGCTAAACAAGATGGATAAAGATGCTTTCAGATATATTTAGTGGCATCCTTATTTTAATGAATCAGCCTTTAAAAGAACTTTCAAAGGGACCTCTTAAAATCCCCCATATTTTCTGTTAAAATTGTAGATTCTTATATTAAATATAGCCAATTTTTCATGAAATGAGTGTATGAAAGTAATCCCTGTGAGGCAAAAATTCATACTTCAGAGTGATCTAAATGCTCAATTTCAGATGGGGATAACAGATTAGAAAAACTAATGAGGTCAACTCAGGCACAGGAGCCCCAGGGGTATTTTCAGGTTTTTTCCAATTGGGAACAGATGAGAATTAATGGCAAGGCAAGGATTGCCCACAGGAAATCAGAATATTTGATCACCAATAAATACAGCGTAGGCTCATGTGCAGCCTGCTTTCTCCCTCTGGGGAAACCCTTGACAAGCCCCTCCTACAAATTCTGTAAAAAATTCTGTTTGACTATGTTCTCATTGGCTGCCCCTTGCAAACTAAAGGGGATAGGAGTTGAAGTCCAGCAAATAGAAATATGAAGCTAGAGCAGACTAGATTCACCACAGTGGACTGAGTCAGGTGCCCAAGATGCAGTTTTTTTTCCTCCCACGTTCTAACTGGCATACATATATAACCTGTATACAAAGAACCAGCACAAAAGTCCAATGACTGGGAATTTGGCTCTTGTTAATAAAACACGAGGCTCCCTGGAAACATAGTTTTCAGCTTTAAGAGGTAAATATTGATCATCTGGTACCGGCAGTTTCATAGAGCCTGATCTTATTTTATGCAGCCCCATTTACATATGTGACATAGCTGAGGTAACTAAGTTATGCATAATGATTAATTACTTCCCTGTCTGCTTAATGGATGGTGTTAAAGTCTTCTTCTACACATTTTTTTTATGCACTCAGTTTATTGACAGGCTTCATTGCGTTCTTTCAGCTCAGCCACACAACTTCAACAACAGTGTTTTGGGCTGTAAGCTGTTCTAAAGTGCGGCTCAGCGCACAGCAGAGCCATAACTGAACACAGCAGCAGATAATGACAGGTCTGCTGCTGTATAGCGCCTATAAAACTCTTCACTCCCATCGGATGTTTTCATGCTTTACTGCTTTGCAACTTCAAACTGAGGAGGTTTAATGTTGCTACTAAACAAATCCCCCCAAAAAGTAAGTAGGTAAATATTTGATCAAGTTTTGCACCTTCAGTAAATACTGCTCCTGAAATGCAGAAGCCTGCAAAGGTATGCAAATGTCTTACTGTATCGTTCTGGTACAGTATCCCCAGTTTCTGAAATGCTCTGAACTTTGCATCATTTACTTTTTTTTGCTGTGTAGGAGTATAACAAGCTGGTGAGAGCATTAGAAACTGCCTGCACAATGATCTTATTATAGTTATAACACAGCACCTTTTCCCTCATTGATTCAACCCCCTCTGCTGTGCTCTACCTTTCCCTACACACTTATTTCACTTTAACCTTAGTCCTTATTGCATGACTGAAATGCCTGAACTGGTACAGCCACAACAATAAAACCACCTTCCTAATCTTACAACAAATCTGCTCTGACCTGTCAGGTCATGGACAGTTGACCTTTGGGGATGTCCTGTTGTGGCTGGTAGTAAAATGTTTGAGTCCTTGGGGTTATTGAATCAGGCTTGTTTTGGAACATCCTGCTCAGTTTGCTTGGTCTTACAGCAGTGTAGAGACAAAGGTTTGCAACCGCATTGCAAAAAGATGATCAGTGTTACTTCTCTGCTGTTAATGTTGTGGCTGATCAGTGTAAATGCACTGATGACAGCCTATGTCACAGAGGTGATTCAAGAAGACACAAGTTCAAATATTAGGACGTTGTTTCGTTAGTAAACATTTAGCTGAGGTCTTGTAAAGTTTTATGATTACCGACTCATTTCAACAATTTAACTGTTTTTAAGGACTCTCTCTTGTTTTTTTAGTAAAACATAATTATGTTTAATGTCTCATTGTTTGGGAAACTGGAATCTTAAAAATTGTTTTTCAGCTTTTAGCATCTGGTTGCTAGTTAAATTGTGAGGGAACGTCTCTGTGGTGCAGATGCAGAAAGACTGCACAGTGAGATGGCATCCCAAATCAAAGAAAATACTTCAGAGAAATTACAGTTTTTCATTGCACCTGGCAGGACAAAGAAAACAGTTGGATAGGAGAGTAGGGCAAGCTCACTTTGTAATCTGTGAAGTCTGGATAAGTTTCATAAGGCCTTCTACGGCAGCCGTGAACAGTCATAATCATGTAAATGAACTTTGTTAACTAATTTCTGTGTTAGACGCTCCTTGTTTATCTGAAAAGCTGATTTTTAAAGCTTTGACCATAACTGACTCATCTTTTTTGGACAGACATTAAAGGGGAGACATCAGGATGGGACCACAGCTCCCTGCATGCCCTGCTGTCTCCTATCACCTTATCACAGCTACCTGGCCAAAACACCGCAGAGCCTCGCCAAGCCGACCAGACAAATATGCTTATCTTGGGGGGGAAATATGGACCTCGTCTCTTTCATCCAGTATCTGTTTTAAGTGCTTCTGAGGAAAGCTGTGCATTAAACAGGGCGAGATTCTGTGTTGTGTTACATACAGTGTACAGTTTAAGGTCCCTCTCTTCCTCCTCTCAGCAGGAGTAGGTTCTCACCGTGGAGCTATCCAGTCGCTGCACCGCAGATGGTCCAACTGTAGGGGAGACAGTAAGGGGGGAATTATCATGAAGTCTGAATATTTAGGTTCCTACTGTGCAAGATGGATCCAGAGGGAAAGGAAACATTATTTCTACTTCCTTACCACCCCAAACCACAAGGTTAGAGATTCTCAACAGGGAAAAGAAACATTTTTCTGAGTAGCATGTTCCTGCAGTAGAGGAGGCTGCAGTTTCAGGACTGCATCTAAGGGGAAATATTTCTTTTACCTAAGAACTACCTACCAAACGATTACCAAGGACAAGGTTTCTAGAACGCGCTGTGAGCACTGACAGTAACACTTTTTTTGTTTGTATTTCATCCAAATATGACAAAGGAATGTTGATACAATCAGTGTCTATCTAGGTATTTAGAGTCTCCACATTTAATTTGAGAGCTGAAGAAGTCTCTTGGATGAGATGTGAAGTGTCTTTAAAGAAGTTCAGTCCCTTTCTTTCCAAGCTTCTTAATCTATCAGCTTTATTAAATCTAATATTAAAGCAAACATTTTGCAGTTTAACTCAAGTTTATAGTTGTGTAATCAAAATCTAAAGTTCACATTTCAGGACATAATTTAACCAACATAGAAGTGACTTAAACCTGCACTTTATCTAATGGCCACCAGGGGGCTGTCAACCATTCCTGTTGCCCATTTGTATTAGGGTTTTGCAGATACGTGACCAATAACCACATGAGGTTAACCTGTCCAGCATTTTAGACATGCCACACTTTTGATGACAATGTAGAATCGAGTGAGTAAGGGCCCAGTCACACGGGCGTAAGTCGCACCGGCTGTGAAGGAAAAATGGTTTGTGACGCACTTTTTCTTTTAGTTTTACCACTACTGTGGTACTGTGTTAGCGACTGTTTGCAGAAAACCAATGAAAGCTACAGGCAGCCCTCGCCATCAAAAACAATCACTAGGAAGTTTCTGCTGCAGCAACTTCTTTGCAACTGATTTCACCCAGTAACTCCCAGGAACCCAGCTAAGGTTGTATCACATCCAAAGTGGTGGACAACTTTTGGAGTCACGTGAGAAACTTCAAAAAAACATGCACAGAGTACCGTTCATGTTGTATTCCAGTCTATTTTACCATGTTGTTTTGTCTCTGCATCCCTTCACATATGTGGGCGAGATCCAGCCATAGCATCTGATTCTATCTTTACTTCTACCTGACAATGAGGTAATTGTGCAAAGCTGCATAACATGCAAGAACTGCAAGACAGAAAGTACTGTATGAAAATGCAAAGTGATTGGTTGCTCTTTTGAGGTCATCCAATTCAGTAGGTGGGAGAGTCAAACAAACTTTGATCATGGTAGTGGTCACTGTGGGCCTGAAACTTTATAGTCTCCTCTATTGCAGGAGCATTGTCTTCCTTTTTCCACACAATGGCAGTTACTTGTAGTGACACCATCATAGAAGTAGTCATGGATCACTCAAAGGAAATTCCTGTTTTGAGTGGACATCACCAGCGACTAGATATCAGTGAGCTGTGGACATCACAGATCAGGGGACAGAGTGAGTAGAGACAGAGGAACACACGAAGGCTGTTTCTGTGTTATTGGGAACACCTTGTTAGAAGAGAACGCTGGCCAAAAATCAGTATATTTTGAGGAGTTCCCATCGTGTATTACTGCATGGCATAATTGATAATGATTTCCTTTAAAGGATAATTCTGGTTTATTGTGATCTTGAGTTATATAGTGTGCATATAGGATATAGTACAGTCTTAATGAGCAGATTGAGTTTACTCATTTTTAGTAGGACCTGAAATACCTAAACTTTCTTTGACTTAACCATTATGGATGGGCAGAAATTTGTATAAGTATAGCCGAATAGTTTTAATATTTACAAGAGCTCAAAATACTCAAAAGTTGAACTCATTTTCCTAATGAAGGCTGTCACGGATAGCTGAAAGTGACAACTAACTGTTGTTTTAATTGCTGAGATATGGGAATGTGGCAACAAAAGGTAGTTCAGAGCAGTGTGGTGATCACACAGGTTTTAAACTGATCCCCTAACAGCCCAAAACCTTTCAAGATAAAACAAACAATTGCTCATTCATTAGGTAGTTTAATAAGTAGTTTTACAGTAGAGAGTTTACTTTAACCAACCTGTGCTCAGTGTCTGAACTGTGGTAAACTGTGGAAGGTCTTTCAGTTCAGCTCTGTCCTTTTTTAGCATCTACGTCAATCTCTGTGGTTTAAGGTTTAAATTGTGTCCCAGTTTATGCTTTCAGATCTCACTCTCTTAAATACAGGGTTTGTCATCAAATTGGCAGACTTCCATTATTTTTTTATTGAGGTTCAACTTTCTGTGTAGTGCAAGAAGAGTAGTCTAATGCTCCCAAATCTCAGCAATTTCTTTAGCAAGAACAATATTGCCATTTTAAAAAACAAAACCCAAACTACCCAAATTTCACAAACCAGCATTGCCCTTTAATATTAAGACTGTTTTAGCCAGAGTCCTCTTTAACAGTAAAGGGTTGAGGAATCGCACAAACTGTCAGTTTTAGTTTGAAAAACATTCAAGATGTACTGTTCACCTATGTAAACCTCCTGATTCAGGCCAACTTACATAGCACCGCTCAGCCACTTTTTGTTTTGCTGCTTCATTACTTCAAGGGTTAAACCAACAAGCATGGGTCCTAATCCATAACTTGACCCCTAGTTTGTTTTTAACTACCAGGGTGAAAGGCCATCTATTTTGCAGCTCTGCAAAACAATACCCTTGGAGTTGGATATTAAAGAGAGCTAATTATAGAAAGAGAAAAGAGAGGCGAGGGTGAGAGACCACAAAGAAAAGGAGAGATACAGCAGGACAGTGGTTGGCAGAGACCATGTAAAGAGGAGGGAATATATGTAGACTAATACTACAAATAATAATATTAACACACGCAGGGCCAACAAGCCCAGGACCTTCAGATGGGCTGACCTTGAAACCAATCCAAATACATGTCGTCAGGACTGTCATCCAGCGCCTCATAGAGGACTGCAGAGCAGCCGTCACAGAGTCAGAGAGAACAAGAGACACAGTCAGAATGCTCCTCACACACAGCAGGGGCAGGAACTCCTGCTCCCAGGTGAGATGCTTTCATCTCCCTGTTCAACAGGCAGACATAACCTATGTTTTGTTTGAAAGCCAGGCTTGAGAAATGAAGTGCACTTACCCTCGGGGGGCAGTCTTCTGGAGTGACCGGATGTTGCGGTGAGACGGAAGCCAGCAGGAAGTGTTTCTGCTGATCCAGGCATCATACTGATACCATGGATGTCCCGGGGAGGGAACTGCCTCCGCCACGATGGGCCTCGGAAGTCTTTGTCATCGCACTGAGTGACAGAATGATAGAGAGCTTGTTTTTAGACAGAAAAGTTAAATAATTGAGGTGAGAGAAGAAAGTTTCAAGAGTAGTCTTTGACTACTATCCCAAGTCCAAACGGCTCTCGCTCTCACCACCTGGTTCAGGCCTTAAGACCGGTTTGTGGCTCTCCTTTCCCTCCTGGCAACCTGCGGGACTATTGTCCTTTCAAAGTGAAGTTACACCTTTGTTAAACATGTTGATTGCAGTGGTACTTCTATTCAGTAAGTAGTTGATGACTTGTTTAAAGGCAAGTTGGCATCTTCCATACAGACTATGGGTGACAGCAGCAATCTGCTAAGCAACCACAGGGAAGGTTTATGGTCCGGCACCCCCTTTACTACTGATTTCACCTAGCAACAGCCAGCAACCGGTCGGGGCTGCCGAGTGGTTTGTTAACATATCATTCCATAGCAACAAGAGGCTACCAGGGGATCCCCAACTTGTCTATAGGCCTGTGCAACTGAGGCCTAATAACACTGATAAGCTTAATGCTTCAACATAAGTGAAAACAAAACATCCTGGCAGAGCTCATTACTTTTAAAGGGTAACATGACATGTAGGATTTTGGATTTTCTTTTACAAACTAACTTCACAATTTGTAAGAGTATTCGTTATATTTAACTATCTAATAAAGTTGATAGAATGTGACTGTTAGAAATCCTTTTAAAGGCTTAGTTTTCACATTTCACCTCACAGTGGTGTGATGCCTTGTGGGTGATAGTTACTTCTTACCTCATCCAGTCTTCTGTCAGTGCCCAGCGCCAGCAGATTATTGTACTCTCGCTCCAGAATCTGACGTGCCTGAGGGGAAGAGGAAGGAGAACAAAAAAAAAAAAAAAAAAAGACAACACATTCAGAAGGCCAGCTATTCTTAGCTGCATGGTAGCCGAGGCAGCTGACACATTACGTTATTCGTGGATTTTACCCGAGTATAGAGATGAGATAAGCAGTGAAAATTCACAGGGAAACTTGCCAGGGTGACAGTTGGCAAATCTGCATGCTCTGATTTAGATTCCACCGGCTTTTGAAGGCTGATACCAACATTCCTCTATTTTTGGACTGAAGCTGGCGACTGATGATATTTCTGCCCATAATTTACACCTTTAATTATTTTTTTTTTCAATGTCTATGCCAAAAAAAGAGCTCCAAAAAATATCTCAATCGCAATAAAGATTTTCTGTTTCCAGCTGGAAAAACATTAGACCAACTTAATGTTGTTGTTAGTGCACAGTCAAATCTGCCAAAGAAAATTGACTAGACTGCACAGTGCAGCTGCAGTAGTACCTGAGTGTTTTGTGTGGGGATCTGGAGGAGCAGTGCCAGGCTGCTGTAGTCAAAGTTGTCATCCAGGGCAACCAGAGCTCCATGCACACCGCTTTCCAGCAGGATGTTGGCGTAGTCCCTCAGGCCTATGCTCTGCACCCAGCGGATGACCCGCTCATTACTCCACACCAGAACGTCTGCAGAGACAAGTATGGACTTCAAATGTTTTCACATATGTTTGGTTTATTACAACATTTTTGTACCTGAAAAAGTGTCAACTGAACTTGCACATTTTACCAGATTTAAAATACTTTTAGACTACATGTTAGTCTGGAAATTTCTGATAGAGTAAGATTTCACACACAGTTCATACAAAGCGGAAATAAGAACAACTGTTAGTTATTCATTTTATGTTTTAAAGGAACTGTCACAGAAATACAGTTCTGTTTTCATGCAGGAACTCAAGACAAATCATGGAGGAAATTTTCAGCCTTGGCGAAGATGCGCACTCTCAAACTGCTCGTGTCTTGGATGTACTTGCCTCTCATTTCATGCTGGCTTTGCTCCCTGCGTCTCTCCAGCTCCTTCCTGTCATAGTTGAGCTTCTTTAGACACATGATCCCGTACTGTAAACTTGTTCTGATTTCAGGAAAACAAAGTTAAAAAGAAACGGATGCCCTCTCAGCTTAGCACCTCCCAAAAAGCCTTTTAAAGTATGAGTTACTAGAGCCAGATCAAACATTTTGTACATATATTATAAGTATGATGCAAGTCTACTACCTGTGGAAGCTGTCCACCATTTTAAGGTGCACCCTCAAGTCCTTCTTGGTGAGGTGGTCCAGCATACGGGCATCCACGAGGCACTCCATGAAGTAGCTGCGGTACTGAGGTAGTCCTAGACTGGGCAACCACTCGTTCCCTATCCACTCATGGTTCATGTCACCATAGGCAAGAGTCTAATAGAAAACACATTTAACACGATGTTTAACATAACTCGCCAAACCAATTGCACGTTTTCACTCTGTCTGTAAGAGACAACAGGCTTTCCACCCACCTGTGCCCAGCTGCCCTCTTCAGACTCCGACTTCTGGCTCAAACACAGGGGAAAGAAAATGAGAGAAAATGAAGACCAATTGTCACTTTTAGAACAATAACAAATCCTTAAAGTGCATCCAAATCAAACTGATAGTGCATGAGGAGATCCTGAGGGGAAACACAAATTTCAGCAGCAGCTGTTATACACCTTATGGCTTATGATGTTTTTTGTTTTTCATACCCAATCAAAAGTAGACCCTGTCAAAATTGGCATTTGCTGTAGTGTTCCAGCAATTTCGATAGCTGAAGGAAGGTGCTTTTATTTATTTTTTAACTTAATTTACCTTAAATTGCATGTAAGTGGATGACAATGGAGACTCTCAATTAAAATAATGGGACAATCTGAATCCAGTTAATTATGATACAATATGGTAATAAAATAAATCAAACAAAAAACCTCCCAAAACTTACCCATCATTTTATAACGAACACTCTGCCTGCTACACTGACACTGACACTTGCCTCTGGATTGGAGCAGCCTGAGAATGAGGTGATGAAACGTCTCTCCACACGTTTACAAGTTTCTCTATTTCTAAGATTGGTATTTTGATTAAACTCTACGGCATGCAGTTTCATAAGGATAAGTCCCCTGTATGCGAAAAAGCTGACTGCGAAATGTGATTTAAATAACTCTGACATCTGGTATGTGGTGAGTAACAACACCACAGAAATAAACAGCTGAGAATTGATGATTCGTGACCTTTCATTATGGAGCATCACTGAGCCAAAGAACAGTGAACGGTGACTCAAACCTTCATTGAGGCATCAGCAGCTGCTAAAAGCTTCAAGCTGGCCATTAGTGTTGAGAAGAGGTTCATAGACCGGGGAAGGGTTTAAGCGCTTCATGTCTTCTCCATTAGAAACCATTCATATTTTTCCACAACCACCCTCTGATAATCGCACTTATACCACCAGACAAATATGAGTGACAGAAAGAAAAGGGTAACCGTTAAAGGACACAGCAGGACTGACCGTTTTGGAAGGGGCTGCCAGGGTCTCCATCTCCTCATGGGTCACCCATACATTGCCTGATGGCTATAAGGGACAGAGCCCAAGAGACAGAGCAGCAGCGGGGTTGGTAGTAGAGGTCCGGTAGGAGGGGCAAGCAGTGTTAAAGAAGAAGAGCAGCACCACTGTAAGCCAATAGTGTTATAGCATCACAGTCAGATGATGAACTGGCCCCAAACCCGCCAGGGGTCAAAGGGCATATGCAAAGGACAAAAACACAAAGTATAACACAGGACATATGCATACAATACATACACAAGAGACACAGATAACAGGGACATTTGGCATGCACAACATTTAAGACCGAATAAATTAGTAACCAATACCAACAGACATGTAAATTACACGTTACCCATCTATTCACCTTCCACTAGCAGACAGCCAGTTCACTCAAACAAGCGAAACAAAACACATCTCTAATGGTGTCTGTCCATATCATTCACACCTACAGGTCCAACCAACAACAGTAGTGATGATTATGTTAATTGTCTTGGCTACTCTACGTGATAAATTAGTAAGAAAGGCAGTTAAATGGACCTGGACTATGTTTGGGGATTTTTCCATTAATGATGTTCTTATTAATGGATTAAAAAAATAGAGTAACATAATGCTAAACTTTAATAAACCTCTCTGTGTGACTGTATTACATTATTTTTTAATTTATTGTTTTTTAAGCTGGTTTCTCTCATTGTTGTCCGTTTGGTTGCATTGAGTTGTCACTGTTGAGCAAAAGAATGACTGTTCAGCAGCTACAGGATCAGATATTATTGCCTAGATAATAAAAATGTAAGGCAGTGATTTCCAGTCAAGGGTCACTATAGGACAGATGGGGCAACTATGGCTCAGGAGATAGAGCAGGTCGTCTAGCAGTCGTCTAGCAGGTCGAAAACGTCCCAATGCGTCCATTGGAGCGTGAAAATTTGAGGGCATATATGGTGAATGGGTGAATAAGGCCTGTAGTGAAAAGTGCTTTAAATGGTAAATGGCCTGTATAGCGCTTTACACATCCAGTCATCCACCCATTCACACACACATTCACACAGTGGTGATGGCAAGCTACATTGTAGCCACAGCCACCCTGGAGCGCACTGACAGAGGCGAGGCTGCCGAACACTGGCGCCACCGGGCCCTCTGACCACCACCAGTAGGCAACGGGTGAAGTGTCTTGCCCAAGGACACAATGACCGAGACTGTCCAAGCCGGGGCTCGAACTGGCAACCTTCCGATTACAAGGCGAACTCCCAACTCTTGAGCCACGATCGCCCCACGATCGTATCTCACCAGATAAGTTAATTTTCACTTTTCTATTTGAACTAAGCACCAGTCTATTTAAACTGGACTGGTTTAATATGTGTGCATATTACTGTAGAAAGTAATTACTATGGAAAAAAATCAAATGTAATTAAAAAAACGTAGAAGTGAAAGTTACTTTGTGTACTAATAGCAAAAAAATTGCTAAAGAAACTGCGAAAAGTATGAACAGGGGGATGAAGTTGTTAGCTTGGGATACATGGAGAATAAAAAAGTAGTATAAACTAAATGTGAAAAGGAAGGGTGGGTCTGACTGTGAAGCAGCACGCTCATTTACTAATGACTTGCGATCGTTAGCCATTGACCGTGAGGTTTCGCATTATAGGTAATTATCCATTATGAAATGGATATTACCAAGATTTATAGTATAAAATATAAATAAAATCAACAAATTGATCTGTGAAGGGGTTCTTGAGTCCATCTGACAGGTGTTTGAAGGTAAAACATTTAAAAAGGTTGGGATGAAATGGTAAAAGGAAAAAACCATTGCATTTTTCTGGTTGCAATTCTGAGTCTTTACACTCTCTAGAGTTTCTGCTTGACATGCACATCCTGCTGCATTTACAAGGTCAATTAACCCCCTCTGTTAAGTGCAGAGGTTTTAAGTGCGAGGCCTGCCACAGTTGGGGGAGTTTGATTGGACTCGTCTCTGGCTCTGTAATGAAAATTTCATGAGGTGTGGAAGTGGAGCTAAGTGGTGGAAGAGAGGGTGAGGTGAAGGGAGAGTACCGGCAAAGTTACTAAACAACAGGAGAGGTGAGAAGAGATTCTGAGCTATAATGCTTGCATGCATACTAGCAGCATCTAAAAACAACTTTAATGAATGCTCCTGGCTGGGTTTATACAGCCAATGCAACTTCTCACGTCTGCGTGATATATGAGCTGCACTGTAAGTCTAAGTGTACCTTTTGTATAACAGCATATTTGCTCTGCAGTGTGAACAGTTGCGATCATTAAGGAACAGCAGAGTCCTCAGAGTCTGTATGCAATTATCATGACAGGAGGGAGCAATGAAAGCAACTGTGGTGTGGAATAACTGGCAAGCTAAATTACAGTACACGTAGGAGCCATGTTTTACAGACTGGGCCATCACCAACTCCCACTGTAATATACGCTTACTTATCATAAAGCAACTATTAAAAACCACAGACAACCTGGATGTGATGGTAAGGACTGAGCGTGTTACCCATGCGTGAAGATGTGGTGTATGCAAGCAGGGAAGCTCATGTCCCAAAAATATTTGCTAGAACTGTTTTGGAGGCAGAAATTATGATTGCAATAACCTTTTTTTTCTTGCAGAAGTGTTGCAGTACATGTATGTGCACTATAACCAATGTGACCTAGTTAGCTATAGCTAGCTAGAGCTTCAAGTGCTTTACCTACATCATAAAAAACACATTTAAAAAAAATCACAATGAAAAACTAAAAATACACATGACCAAACTCACAAAAACTCAATTTAAAAGGTGCAAAACAGACAGAATGTATGTTGAAGGAATGGCTCCACATTTCAGGATTTAAAACCACAAGATTAAACCAGGAAGTTGTTAGCTTAGCTTTGTATAAAGATGGGAAACAGCCGTGTAAAGTCAGGTCTATCCAGCATCTTGAAAAATCACTAATTCCTTTTTTGTTTCGTTTTTTTTGCGGGTAGATATGTGGTTTATTATCATTTTCTGATATACCTAGGCTAGCTAGGCTAACTGCTTTCCCATGTCCAAATCCTTGTTCCTTCTTTGTCTGTTTTTTTGCCAATTCTGTTGTTACAAATTATGAGAAAATTTCCCTCCTTTAGAGCAACGCTTCCTTCAACAAATATGTGTGGAAATAAAATTCCCACATTTTCCGTGTAACTCACGGTTCTGGAGGTGGGCGGGGCCGAGGGACTGGTGAGGGAGACCATTTCCTGGATTGCCAAGCGAAGTTTGAGGCGGTGCAGAGGGTTACTGATTCCGATCTCCCGCTGGATTTCGGTGTCAGATAGGGCCGACATGATGGCACCGCTCTTCACGTTGGCACGACATGCTGCCACGTACCAGGCCGGCATCCCCAACCACAACTTCATCACACAGAGGTGAGGAGACAACAGTGTTAACCTGAAAGACTGAGTACTTATTTGGCAATAAAAATCATGTTAAAAAAACAAAACAAAAAATTTTCAGTCAAATATATTTTAATATCAGCCTTAATCTCATATGGCGCCATCTTTAACTAGAACATTGTGCTGGAGGATTAGGGAGGTCATGAACTGGCTTGTGAATGTACATATGCTAGTAAACATTAGGGGGCAGAAGAGTGTCTGTATTTTGGGTCCTTTAGCTGTATATTCCAGTGTTTTCTTAAACGTCACTGAGTCACTACAGTGATCATCACATATTCTTAAATTTCTATTCTGTGCTACTGTTCGGTAAATATCCATGCAAGTGATTGAAAACTGGGTCATAACTTCATACTTCAATAAAAGTAAAGCTACATCCATCATACGCGCTTCAATTATTAATATACCTACTAGTGATAGGTGACCATTTACCTCCAGCCACGCAACAACAGTAGGACCGTCCCACTGGGCAAAAGGTAAACCCTTTCTCCTAGCCTCCTCCAGCAGCTCGTGTCTGAGGGCAGGGACAGAGGAGACCTGGTATGAACACATGAATTTGTACATCCTGAACACACATTTGTTCAGTCTAACAAAACACCAGACTTTCTTACATCTCGCATCCTAAAACCTGCTCACATGCTCTTCACAAACTCCTGCAGTTAACGTTGTGCTGTTGCAGATCTGTGTGTGTGCAGTACACAAAGAGGATTGTACTCATTCGCATTTTATCTCTCGGTCCAGCCTGTACTCCTATAGCATTGAAAGGGGCAATAATTCATCATTGACTTCTGTGCTAACGGACAGTGGAGCGCAGATATGCACAGCTGTATCTGCACTCAGAGAAACACACAGGCCTTGCATTAATGCAATTCACTGACTTCACTGAATCCACAGTCCTTTAAGCTAGCTCATCCCTGTCATGTCTGCAATACGGAGGGCTAAAGCTGACATAATTAAAAGAAATCAATAAATGGATAAATAAATGGCTGACATTAAATTCCTCTCAATAAATAATTGAAAAATAATGCAGAAATTATACAATTATGACAGGTGAGAATCCCATTTGAATTGTAACCATATTTGTGTTATTCCCCTTTTTATTATTTCCATTTATTTTGTCTTTTTGTTAAACCTTGGTGGTTTAGACTTTGGCCAGTTCTGAGACTAGGAGGAGACACAAATCCCGGGGAGGGTTGTGTCAGGAAGGGCATCTGGCATAAAAATCTGCCAAATAAAATATGAAAAGAAATCCACTGTGGTGAATCCTTGTGAATAATGTTACAGATGAAGAAAAGGTTTGTTTATTTGTAAGCTTTCTTTATGCATTTACACCTTTGTGTTCTATTTGTGAGCTTGGTGTTGATTAGCCAAAAGCTGCCAAGTTGACCCTTGACAGTTTCTATAAGCAGAAATGCACAAATAAACGAAACAAAACAAACACAAGAAAAGAAAAGCTTGGTGAAATAGAGACTAAAAATGCTAAGAATATATAATACAGAAATAGAAAAGACATGATGACCCCCTCCATTAAGTTCCACCTTATTGTGCGCTCGAGTTACATCCGCAGCTATGCCGTACGAGGCGTTTACCCTGGTAGGATTTCCCAAGGTAAACTGGTCCTGGAGGTGCAAGGCCAGGTCCCCCCCCTCAAAAGACTGCTATGAAGAACACAGCACGCTCCTCGTGGCCTGGTCTTAGCCCTTTATACACACGAGGCAGCACTCCCATGGACCCATCACCTACGGGACAAGCCATAGGTGTGTGGTGCAGAGTAAATCAGGTGGTGTAAGCCTTGGCAAACCAATCCCCAGTTCCTTAAACTGGTTCTTGGGATGTTGGAAGCTGAGGTATTTCAGCCATATCCAAGTGGGAGGAAGCCCCCGGGCAGACGCAGGAAATGCTGGAGAGATTTTGTCTCTCAGGTGGTTTGGGAACACCTCTGAGGAGGTGGATAAAGAGAAGATCTGGGAATCTCTGCTTCGATGGCTACTCCCAGAACCAAGACCCGGGAGAGTGTCAGGAAAAAAAACATGGATGGAAAAGATTTGGAATGGAAATAAAAAAATAAACAGAGTAAATAATGCAACGGTCTGTCATTATTTTTAATGATTTAATTAATGCCTTATTATCTAAATGTTTTTATTATTTTTAATATTATTTTGAATGCATCTCAAGTCACATCTATTTACTGAGACATTTAGGCATTTACGCATTTGCATATTTTTGATTTTTGGTAGTTATGACTGTATACTATTTGTAAGCTAATATAAAATGTTACCTTTAAATTACATAACAGATGCAGCTACGGAGAGCAAGCTGTCTCTAGTAATTTAAGACTTGCTACTTAAAGTTTGCAATAGTTCAACCTGGAACTCTAAATTTCTTTCTGCATATAAAATATGTTCACACTATATTTAGAGGATTGCTTCAACCTTGGCAGAAGTACTGCATCAACAACAATGCCCACACCTGGAAAGCACAGTGCTGCAGTTATCTGCTCAGTGATTCTGGGCACCACACTAAACACGATTATCCATCTCATCGTAGTTTTTTTCTGCAGAGATAGATTTTCATTTGTTTTGGATGTTTGAATCATGCAGTCGGGTGATTTAAAGTGAAACTTGTCTTCACACTTTCTCGGCTGTGCTCCATGTTTTTTTTTTTTTTTTTTAGCAGGTGTTGAAGTGTAACCTCTGAGGTCTAAGTACTATTTTGTTATGCTTCCTTTTGAGGGTAGCTTTGAGCACTGGAAACAACCTATTCAGCCCAATGCAATTTGCACCATATCGACAAGGAGAAGCAAATAGATACTCTTTGTCTGTCATGCAAAGAGCTATTTGTGTTGTCCTCCCACATTCAGCGAGATACAGAACTGATAAACAGCCTAAAAATGCCTGATGAACAGGGGACCGAGGAACACACTCGTACTCACATCCACGCACGAAAAAACAACAACAACACAGTTCCTATTCTATTTTGTGAACACATTTCATAACAAAATGAAAAAAAAATCAAACTCTGAATCAACCTCCCCTTCCCCGATTGTGTTGTCAAAGAACTTGACAAATGGAAGGAGAGGGCTTTGTAATAAACATGATACATGTAGCACTCTCAGCATTGAAGGCCTCGGTGTGGTGAAAGGGCACTTAAACACACCACACATGGCATACAAAGGCCTACAGGTGACAGAGGAAATGTGTTCATCCAAACACAACCAGATACATTCACTGTCTTATCTATCCAGCACATGGGGAAGATAGCTCATGTTTTATGTTCAGGTCAAGTCTAATGCATGGAGAAATACATCCACTGAACATAGCTGGGGGAAAAGGGAAGTAAGGAGACAGTTATGATAAATCATACAACCAAAAAGAACCTCTGACATTCCCATAACCAGATGTTGCAGCTGGTTATTTCACACAAATAGATAAGAGACACAGATAAGGAGAGGAAAACATTCTGGGTATAAAAATTGGGCCCCAGGTTTAGCGGCGGCACATTCTCTGTCCAGCCATGGATGCAGCTGCCATTGAACTGTAAAAAGGGGGGGAAGAAAAAGTGCTCATGTGGTAAATGAAAAAAAAGAAAAGAAAGAAAGCAATGGCATCATTAACAGCCATGAAGGATAGATAGATAAGAGACGTCAGCTTTGGCACTGGTTCTTTCAGGAGAGGACGGATGAGCAGACACACAGAAGAGATGACACAAAGGGCAAAATGGCTGAGACAATGTCATATCCAGGAGGGCATTTATACATCCTCACAACTTACCCGCTTTGTTAGAGTCAGAGGATGATGAGAGGGAGAGGAAGGGTAAGAGAGGAGAGAGTCAAAGAAGAGAGAAAGAGGGAGAAAGAGAGCGACGGGGAGACAAAAGTACACACATGTTAATGAGTTTATAGGCAAATTCACCCTACGGCTCTAAACACAAACACTTGCACTCCCACTCACTTGCGCACACACACAGAGACACATATCTCACAATGGAAGACATTCTTTAACAGGAGCATCTGTAGAGCAGTCCAAAAAAGTCATCTTCTACAATGCAGTCCTGATCACATCTCGTGCAGCAGAAGAAATGAGAAATGCACTGAAACACAGCAAGACCCTCCCCTCCATGGCCTTACATTCAAATGCTCAGTTACATTCAGATACTTGTTGTTACCTCTTGAAGGAAAACAAAACACACCAACAATGAGATCACAGCAGTACTGATCAACCAAGATGCTGAAATGGAAATAGTGCAGGCAGCTTAATGGCATGCAGTGAGGAGGAGGAGGAGGAGGCACCAAGATGCAAGGTGGTGGCGTGTGGTCTGAATCCCGGACACTGCTATGAAGAAGTCGGTGCAGTGGAAGGAAAACAACACATTTGTCAACATACGGAACAACAGTAATCTCTATTGACCAAACTACATGGGAGGCAAAGTTATCCGTCATGACAACTCAATGTGCACTTCGAGCAAATGACATTCATCATTTGGCACTGAGGCATGGCAAATGCGCACACACACACGAACATACACGCACATTTATTCTGAAACACTCCAGCTGAGAGAGCCGATGTGTGAAGGGGTTTCCCTTTTGTTTCTTCCCCCCCAAGAAGGCACCTAATGTGTCTGAGTGTAATCTATGGGTGGTGGGTTAGGAAAGCCATCTATAGCTTCCAAAGTGACAAAGAACCTTTGTGCGATTAATTGGCTTTTTAGCCTGGATCAATAGTGTGACTTTGGCTGTGTGTCTGAATACAATGGGGCTGATCTGTGCTCGTGGATACTGATCGAGTTTCTGCTTTGTATTGATCCTGTTCTCAGGATTAAATCGGTTATGGTAGAATATACAGTGAAAGAAAAGAGGTTAAAGGCAAACCCAGGAAAAGGAGGGTGTAGCCATTGTCTCTATACCATGTTCAGACTGGTTTATATACTGCAATGTAGCAGTGAGTGGGAATTCTCAAGAAAGTTTGAGTTGGATTGTTTCCAAAGAAAATGTTTCTTCTCACAGGGTACCTAAAAGTCTGTGTTATTATATTAAATGGATACTGCTGGGTGTGCATTAAGGGACTATGATGATACTAACTCCACCTCAAAATGTTGTAGTGAAGTGGCACTTAGGATAAAAGCTTACTTCTTTTTCAATCTGCGGTCCTTCTCAGCCTGAGTGCCCAACTTGCTCACCCCCATGTCCTGGCCCGCCATGTCTGAATCCATCATTGTTGCTGTGGAGAACATAATCAGATACTGTTATTATGAATGAATGAATGAATAAATAAATACATAAATAAATAAATAGTGTATTTGTATTTTTAGTTGGCAACCAGTTAAATAAATTCCTCTACTACAAAGAGACAGACTGCAATGTGAATGTCTGTCTGCATTTATAATATATTGTTTGCAAACCTTTGCCATTCTGTCTGAGAGTGATTGCAGTCCGCAACTGTTTGCAGAGGTTAAAGATGGGAGGCAACCTGTCCCCAGTCGCCCCCAGTTGTGACTGAAAGTAGTCATCCAGGTTGCTGAGGGTGTTGCACACTCAATCTCTTGACCACTTGGTCACTACAACTACTTCCATTCGTTCAATGAATACAAAAAAAACTAAATGCAACTGGGCAACCTCCAATCATTTTCCCACCTTTGTATTTTAATTCTAGTGTAACTGAGGCATAAAACAGAGCCTTCAAAATTGAAACTAGTAGGTGATGACACTGTGGCTATGCCAAGCTGATGCATTTTTAGTATGTTTATGCTGCTAACATGAAGTTATACGTTGACTAGCTGCAGCAGTAGAATTCTAAGTAGTACTGTCCAGTTTGTAAACTCTGAGAGACCTTCTTAGCTGGCAAAAATTGTAGCTAAGAGTGCTTTTTAAAAAGTTTTTTTTTTTTTTTTTTAGACAAAATAGACCAAATTGTAATAGTATTAAGTAAAATATCCCAGCGCTGTACTCGCCTTGTGGATCTACCATGACCTGTCTGTGTGCTAGGTGTGCCAGTCGGCCTTTTTCCTTCTTGCCAAATAATCGTCCGATGGAGGATTTAATGCCCTTCTTCTTTGGCTGCTTGTGGAGGGAGTCCTGGCTGCTGGCTACGCTACTTAGGGCACTGGCTTCAGCCTCTAAAGAAGCCACAATCCTGAGGACAGAAACATACAGACAGTATTCAGAAAAGGAGTGTTTGCTACATTTTAATTTTATGAGATAATCAAAGGTTTTCCATTATAAGCTTATGTTAAGAAGTATATTTGTCATCTCAAGTACCTTTTATTTAATTCCCTGCTGTGTTACTCTAACTCGTTCTGTTATTAACTTTTGAAATGAAAGTTTACTGACTTGTATTCCGGGAATATTTGCTGCTTATAGCAAATGTACTTTTTGAGCATTTTATGCAAATTATTGAAGCTTCATCTCATCTGATATCACTGCAACAGTGATACTTTAGCTTTACTTTAGTGATACTTTAGCTGTGCTTTAGCTTTAATCATCCAGATATTGAGAAAGTACTGAAGTACTGTAATATCTTGCGTGTTGAAATATTATTCATAGCACAAATTGCAGCTGAACTGGCAACTACTAATTGGGCAGTATACTATCTAATTTTCATCAAAAGCAAGAATAGGATGACAGCATCATCTACAAACACACATCATCGAGAACCTTTTTAAGAAATGCCTTCACTTACAGCAGGCACTTACCCTCGTGCATCGTTGTGCGAGGAGGCTGGCAGTGTGTGTGTCATTCGGACAGTGCGTGGCGTCGGAGGGGGGGATGTCTCACACTTAATGGTGGCCTTGTCCTCGCGGCCATCCTCATCCACCGCTGCTATCTGAGGGATGAGGGCAAAGGGGCGGAGCATTACAAGTGACCTAGGACACCAGTAAGTCAACAATTTCGTCACGGTGTCACTGCAGCAACCATTACAGCTCTGAGTTATAGTCAAATGGTATCATATTTAAAATCTGTTGAGCGAACTCTTGGTGTGTGTACCTTTCTCCTGTGTTTCCTCAAATCACTGGGCTGCATGGTGAAGGAAAAACAGAAAAAAAAAACTTTCAATATCCACGTGTTAAAGCATGAACAAAAACTTGAACTCCTGCATGCTGGTGAAAAATAAAACAATTAGCTCACTTATAGAAATATCATGTACCATTAGAAGCTCATGAGCCATTGCCCAATACCAGACCACCTATTTAGAGATCAGCACTGAGGAATAAAGAAAGACTGGTAAACAAGTCAGTTGAATAATCAATAAAATCAAAGCCTTATTGCTTTGAAATCCCATGGGTAAAGAAGACATTTACACTGATCCCACTAGACACCTGGGTTGAATGATGATAGTTGAGAGAGCTCTCCAATGTGTTTGTTGCGTTGCTACCTTCTAGAGCATTTTCAATACAGTTATCTGACAAATAATATGGCTTGCTGTGTGATAAACAGGTCTGTGGTACAGTTTTGATAAGTGAAGTTCTCTTATTTTATGTGAACCACATTGAGAAAAGGACCTGTCCACCTACACATTACACCTACACGAGCTGCTCGGCCATGAAAGCCATGCTATGAAGCTCCCACTGCACGGTTTTTGTGCTGATATTAATGCTAGAGGAGGTTTGGAACTCTGTAGTTATTGAGTCAACGGAGCTTTGGCAACTTTTACACTCAATGCTTCTCAGCACTTGGCAACTCTGCTCTGCAACTTTAATCTGGCTTCAAGAAAACCAATAGGTGACATAATAAAGTTTCACATGCCGGGAAACTGTATTTTGTACCAACTGCATTACTATTCCCAGACTTCTAAACAAAGACCACATTTACAGTTTACATGGTGCTCTTGCAGGTAAAAAGGTGGCAATTTATTGATGCAACATACATTATGTAAACAGAGGTCTGTAGTAGGATCTGTAGATGGTATGATAGAAGATGTCTCGCACGTGGTGATGTAACATACCAGTGTCATGACCCCCATGCGCTCCATGTCCCGGGCAGGGCTTCGAGGATCAAGCTTAGGTGTGGAGTGTCCGCTGGGTGGGGAAGAGGATGCAAGCGAGGAGGCAGTTGCTGAGGCAGTGATGGAGGCTCCGTGGTGGTGCATTCGAGCCAGGTTTAGACCCTCGAGGCTAACGCTGGCCACTCGGTTCTCAATCTCCTCTGCTCGCAGCTCTGTTGACTCCTTCTCTTCCTGGATTAGCCTGGTATCAGGAAAATGCTGTGAATATTTTTCTATGTAAAACTTAAAAAAAAAGAATCAAGCTGTGCAATTTTTAGCTAACTTAAAAAGCAAAAAAATATAGAAGCTATTCTGCTACAAAAATAGCCTCAGCTTTCAAGTTCTTTAAAGGTAGATTTCAGCAGATTTGCAACGCTCAGTCCTTTAAGTCCCTGCAGTATCAGGTAAAGTAATTAAAGGACAAACTAAAGAGTTAAAAGGCTAAAAGTCGGGTAATTAACCACACTCTGTATCTAACTTTGTAATTAGCTGAAAGCTCAACACTTTAGATTCATGATCACTTTACACAATAAGACTGCATTAAATCTTTCTAAAAGAAATGTAGCGCTGTGTCTTTTGATGTAGATGTAAATTAGCAAAGACCACAAGGCACATTAACAGCCCTTGAAATAAAGAAGTAAGTAAAGTTGTGCCTGGGGGTCATGAATACTTATTGACACAAGATAATTACAGCATTATCAAGCAAGAGGCACCTCACATTTCCCAAAACACTGAGTGCATACAAGAATAGTGTTTGGGTCACATACGGGAAGAGTAATCTACAGACACCTTTAGTGGTTTACCTGTGAGCTCGGCAGACACACATTTTGTCTAGAGAGTGAATTACTATGCGGCTCATTTTCTCTAGGGCACTTTTTATCTTGCTTCTGTGGTTACTAGCTTGAACACAAGGCAACCAAAATCAATGTGGGTGTGTTAATTTTTAATTCTAAAAGCAGAGTTTTTGGGTGAAATATTACTTTAGCAACCAAGGGCAAACAAGGTGGAGTTATGGAAGCAGAATATCGCTCCAAACTTTAAAGTCTTTCCAAACATGATGTTAAAAACATATCAAGTTGGTCTCCAGTAAAGTGGATTTAGAACGAGGAGGCGGATCAATACGTCTGGAAATCTGGCCTTCAGTATTAAATTTATACAACGGCGTGTGTCAGCTACCGGATCTCCTTGTTGATTGCGTCCAGCTGCTCCTGAAGCATCATGGCCAGAGTTTGTGCATCGGAGTGACCACTGGGAGACAGCAGGTCCATGGAGCTGAACAACGTCTCCCTATCGTCGTCGTCAATGTCAGACATTTCTGTGTCGCTCTCAAAGTGGTGGCCTCCCATGACCCCCAACTGCTGTGAGCGCCATTCAGGCTCCCCCAGTGACTTTGCCTGCATACAGAGACAGAGTGAAACTGTGACTACAAAACAATATCTTATTAGTTATGAACTAATATTTTGAGATCATTACTGGAAACTGAAAACATAGTCATGTAATACAATTTTATGAGAAGCACTTATGCTTTTTTCCCCTGATTATGTCCTATTACTGACTCTAATAAGACTTAATGACTTCTCTAAGCAGTAGTAGTTGCGACACACCAAAAGATGGAAATGGTTTTTGTTTCATTTAAAAGCAGTATCCTATATATTTATAATGTGTCCTGCACTCATACTTGAATTACCATAACCTGCATTTAGAATCCAAAAACTTTAAACCTCCAAAATAAGAGCCTACAGAAAATGTTCACATTAAGCCTGTCAATAATGTTATATTAAAGGTTCAAGGCCCAATTCAGACCCACTACATTGTTGCCAGGTCTTTGTCTCTGGTCATCATATTTGGTAAATGTAGTGTGTGCGCATCACTAACAGTAACCCCTTCATTCCAATCAAGGTATGCCGGAAAGCATCTCTGAATGCACAATACATAGAGCCTAGAAGCAGATGGGCTACAGCAGCAGAAGACCACACAGAGTCCCACTCCTGTCAAGAACAAGAAAGCGAGGCTACACTTTACCTGAGCTCATTAAAATTGGACAACAGAAGATATGAAAAATGTTCTCTAGTCTGATGAGTCTTGATTTCTGCTGCTACTTTTAGGATGGCAGGGTCAGAATTTGTTACAAACATCATCAGAACATGGGTTCATCCCACCTTGTGTGAACAGTTCAGACTGCTGCTATCAGTGTAATGGTATGGGGAATAGGCTTCATGTCACAAAGCTCAATCATGTCAAACTGGTTTCTCAAACATAACAATAAATTTACAGCAATCAGAAAGTCTCTACAGCCACCAAATCTGAAGCAGCTGTATGAAGCTCTGAGGAGTCCTTCTAGCAACTTGTTTAATCTATGTGATACAGAATAAAGGCAACCCAACCCAGTACGGGAAGGTGTAATGAAGTTTCCAGTGAGTGTATATTGAAATATTTTAGTCCCTGCTGGATTTGCCAAACTGGCACTTCTCCAGTATCTAAATTTAACTCACTGCGTTAAAGCTGACACTGTTCATTGACAGACCACTAAAGAAGCTCTTAGATGTTTTTAAAATAGAAACATTTAAATATAAGTAAGATTGAAAGGCAGACAAACCAGATGTTATTCCTCACCTTGGTTTCTCGCAGACCTATTCGACCTCTCCTTTGTCGATGGATGACCTTTGCTGAGCGGTAGTGGTCCGACTGGGTTTCAGCCAGAGATCCCAAAGAGAATCGAAGCTCAGCTGATGTGTCCAGATGGGATCTGGGAAACAACTTTTATGAGTATTATTGAAGCTAAACGCAAAATGCTTGGTTACAGATTTTGTGTTTTGTGACAGATGAATAATATCTGAACCTGTTAAAGCAAATCCTTCAAACACAATCGTTAGCAGTGATTTTGTTTGGGTCGTAAAGCAGATTGCCAGTAGATAAGACACAGCAAGAAAACTTGCAGTACCGATTAGTTACACAAGCAGGAAACCAGTCAGATGTTATATTTTGATACCTCAAGCGTACCTATTAGTCACAGTGAGGAGGTGCAAAGTGTACTTCTTGAAGGATAAGAGCTTGTTATGCATGCTTCTATGGCTGCAAATTGTTTGTCTTTGGAAGAGATTAAGGCTGCCACTGTCAACACGTCAGCTTTGTAAGATTAGAACTTCAAGCAGCATGAAATGGAAACCAGAAAATATCCAAAAATAGATGCCAAAAGTTCCATTATACCAGTGTTTCTAACAATAGTGTAACAGAGCAAGTAGTTTTCACAGAAGAATAAAATAACAGGAAAGCTCCTGGAGACTGAGTATCTATTTGCCTCTCTTTGCTTCCTGTTCCATAAACACAGACATTAGACTAAATCTGAATCTCTTGTGGCCTTTTATTGCATGTCTAGCGTAACACATCTTCTTTATGTTGCAGATGTTTTCACAGCATCCACGTTTTTCTTGAGTCATTTGTTCACCTTGTAATACGTCGTGTATCCACCACTAACGTTTGGACACAGAACCAACTAATGTTCACCGTGCTGCCACTGAACAAGCCAATTTTTTTTTTCTTTAGCCCATTTCTGAGAAGCACTTGACTGGCAAGCTCCCTCAGCAACAGAAACATACATTCCTTGTCTTTATTCTCCTAGTAAACTACACATTTTGATAAGGAAAATACATTTAGACATACATAGTGATTAGGGATTGTTATGAATAGTTGACTGGACACTTAAATGTTGATGTTGTTGCCAGTGGAGGCAAATGTCCCTGGCCACAAATGAGGGCTGCAGCCCCGACATGCAACTGAACACAAGTGATATTATTTGATTAAGAAGGAATGTGATTAATGGTTTTATATAGCTCCTAAAATACATACAAAATATGTTTCTGGCCAGTTTTTAACTTTGTCCATCTAAAGTGAGTTATAAAGCTTAGTTTTTTATTCCGATTTAAATTTAACAGCACGTTTATTCTAATTGAATTGATTAAAATGTGTTGTCTGACTTTTACAATCCCACAAATTAATTTAATTAGTGATATAAATTAATCATTCTCAAATAAAAACAAGAAAAATGTTATTTATTAAGGGGAAAAAAAAATCTTTTCAACAGTGATTAAAACCAAAGATGATTTTATTTGGCTCCTGGAATGTGTCAAAGATTGCTATTAAAGCAACTGTAGGCTTTTATTGTGAAAGACAAGAAAAAGAGGAAGCCTATTTCTCCCCCTGTCCAATATGGTGGTCCAAAAGCAGCAACTGATGCAGTATATACACATGTGGAGGTACGTTACAAACTGCGTCTTACATCCGGATACACTCACACACACACACACACACATTAAACCGACCTACCGTGACAGCGTGGGTTCTGTGAGGGAGCCTGCCCTCAATCTGAATTGGTCGAGCTCCGATCTCAGTTTCTCAATATCCTCTGCCAGCTGCGACTGGACAAAACAATTTCTCTACATCATTGTCTGTGATATTACATGCCCAAAAAATGAAATGATTATCCTACCCCTTTATACCACTAGTCATACTAGTGACATGTGGAGCTGATTACATTTACAGGTCTGAATAGGTGACAGTTGTAATTTCTACTGTTTTCAGTAGCCACTTTATTATTCTATCCCTTGCAGGAGCTTTTCAATATTGAAGGTTTATAAAAAATTTAACTAGTGCCAATAACCAAACTCATTATTGCTGTACTCAAAAGTCAATTATTACACTAAGCTCATGTAAAATGTAGACATTTTGAAACAGGAGGTAATCATTTCTCGATCTCTACAACCTACTTTTTCTTGGATTGACTCCTCGTACTGTTTTCTGTAAGTTTCCGAGTCTTGGATTAGCATATTCTGCAAAGAAGAAAAAAAGGGGGGGGGGGGGAGTAAAGAAGTGAGAAAAACACATCTTTTAATGACCTTGATGCAATTGATATTGACAGGTTTCCATTGACGTGTCAGGCGTTTTTAACCTTCTCTTCGAGAGCTGCCATTCTCTCCTTCAGGTGGAGCTGAAGTCGCTCGTTGGACTCAGTGAGGAGTCTGTCCACTGTGTCTGAGAGTCTCTTATTGTGCTCTTCATTCATCTTTTCCCTCTGCCGAGCCTGAAGGAGAAAAATACAGATAAACAAGCACATTTGTATGAGAATAAGACATCAGTCTAAATTGCTTCTGATGTGATGAAAGCCTCTCAGCAGGAACTAGAATAACTAATTGCATGGCCTTTACAGCTATTCTATTTTTAGTTTAAAATCAGAACTTTATATGAGGACAACACTTCGACAAATCAGTGTAGTGTATCATAAATTATGTGATTATGTAAATGAACCCCAAGCACCACATTTCAGTAAAGATTACCTCAAAGAAATTACTATGCTTCTAGTGTGGCTGCACTTTAGATCTCTCTCTGAGGTCTGGTTCTGACCACTTGTGCACTGGATCCCCGCTTCTGTGTCTGAACAGCCACATAATTTTCTTTACTTTAGAGAAAAAAAATAATCACAGGGAGTGAAATCTGGTGAGTGGGGCTGGTGGCGACTAAAGATGGCGTTGGCTTGTTTCTGCGCACAATAGAACAAGGTCACACATGTTCTCTGATAAATGCCTCAGGATGCTACAGCAGAACTCTGCATTGACAGCCTCGAGGACAAATCCAGAATGCACAAACCCGTGAATGTCGACACAAAGGACGAGTATACTCCTTGTTGGCCTTCTGACCTTATGCACTAGCTTCAGGCTTGGCCACTGAGCAACAGTTCCACCGAAAACTGCTGTTTGGTCCCTGGGTTATTGCTGGAGACCTCACCAGGGAGTATTACTGTATCCGGATGAAAGTTGGGTTAGTTTGACACATGAGTGGAGTGCCGTGATCAGTACGGGAATTCCAAGTGACAATCTAAAATTAACAGCAGTACTGGAAGCAATGCAATAGTGCATGAGAAGAGGACACTGAGTGGGAGATTGGTCAAATTTAAATCTGATTAAGCCTCCTCATTTTTATATTTATTTTTTACATGCTGAATAATACACAGCTATTTCTCCCATAATGGCTTTTCTTGACTCCCTGTTAAATAAAATATTTAATAGAAAATCCTTCTCCTCACATACAAGGTCTTGAATAATCAGGCCCCATGTTATCTTAAAGACCTCATAGTACCTTATGAACCCAGCAGAGCACTTTGTTCTCAAACTGCTGGTTCGTAGGATATTTAAAAGTAGAATGGGAGGCAGAGCCTTCAGCTTTCAGGCCCTCTTCTGTGGAATTAGCTTCCAATTTGAATTCGGGAGACAGATACCCTCTCCACTTCTAAGATTAGGCTTAAAACTTTTATTTTTGATAAAGAACATCATTAGGGCTGCATCAGGTGATCCTCCCTGCAAAAGGCCTAAGCTGCTGGGGGATTCCTATGATGCACTGGGAGTGTTTCTTTTTCACTCACTATATATTTATACACCACTGCATTTAATCATTAGCTATTATCAATTTCTGGCTCCCATCCATAGTGTATCTTTTATCCTTTCTCCCTCCCATCACCACCGGCTAGTCATGGCAGACGGCTGCCCCTCCCTGAACCTGGCTCTGCTGGAGGTTTCTTCCTATTAAAAAGGAGTTTCTCCTTCCCACTGTTGCCAAGTGCTTTCTCAAAGGGGTCATTTGACTGTTGGGGTTTTCTCTGTACTATATGACTGCTGTTGGAAAGATTGCCCACTATTGCATTTTTCAAATAAGGAAAACAACAACAAAAAAACTTTGAAAATAACTCATGAGGTTAAACATCTTCATACAGACAGCATTCTCGCTTGAATTTGCTATCATACACTAAAGTGTGACGTGAAAACACTAACGTTTTTTAGAATTACTCATTTGCATCATTTGTGAGTATTTTGCAAAGCATTATATCAGCAGAGTACGTGAAACACCCGTTTGGTCAAGCTTCATTGGTGATAAATCAGACAGTGTGCCATCAGTTGCAGTCGCTTCAAGCTGTCTTGCTCATGCAGAAGTGGCTGCCTGGTTAACGCTGCTTGGCACAACGCCTCCGCAGTGACTCACCCTCAGCAGCTCCTGGTTCTTCTCCTCCAGCTGGCATTCCAAGTGCCTCATTCGCTCCTCAATGCTCCCGTGACGCTCTTCCGCCTACAGTTGGATCACAGACAGCACAGACAGGACAAAAAAAAAAAAAAAAAGAGGCCACGATGATCTGTGTGCTTGACAGCCTAAGGGCCAACAAAGAAAAATGGTGGCGACAACACAAGCCAAAGCTTCTACCCCAAACTCAAAGATGGATATCTATGTTTTAAAGCGTAACTGGAAAGACAGCTGATTGAAACAAACAGTGACAAGGAGAAAGATGGAGAACAAGGCCACCAAAGGACAGAATGAAAGAGGAAGAGAGCTGCTCCAGCACTGCCAAGTATGAGCTCCAGCCAGAAGTGCCATGCAGCTGTCCCATGGTGGTAGAACAGCCAGAGCAGAATCCCAGTAAACACGCCCGCCACAAAACACTAATAAGATAAATGAATGATATCTGTTCTCTATTGGAGTTGGCAATAGCTGTGATGCCCTGTGGAACTACCTTCCTAAGAATGGAGTTCATGTCTTGGAGTTTAGCTTCCATTACAAAGTGATAATCATCAGGAGAGGAAGAGGAGCTGGAGTCAGACTATGTGGCCGAGGAAGAGGAGAGACATGTTGAAACGTCATGACACCACGTGGACACTTACACAAATGTACAGAAAAAAAACGAGGGCATCTGTGGGAATACGTCAACAGCATGTGTGTTAATGTACAATATGTACAAACGTGTGCGCTTACCTTGGTGAGAGCTGCTATCCTCTGGGCTAGTTCGGCCTCTACCTCCGGGAGTGTCTCAGCCTTCCTCATGGTCTGCTGGAGTTTCTGTTCTGCAAGCTCCAACCTCTCCTGTAGTTGTCTGTTCTTCTCCTCCATCTGCACTCAAACATCACAGACAGCAAAGACATTAGCTGATAGTTGAACAACGAGACTTATGAGATTTTGTATCTGGCTTCCTGCAGATTTTGTGGAGGGATTGCAGCCAAAAGTAAACAAAAAATATAAATGTGCACATTGTGAGGAAAAGAGTCACATTAGCCGACAGTCAAAGTTAATGTACTGAACTGGTTCTTATATAGCGCTTATCTATTCTACTTGAGCACTCTATACAACATGTTACATTCACAGTAGCACTGCATCGACATGTAAGTGGTTTCTATTTAACATTCACACACATTCAAATTCCAATGGATTCATCTGTGAGCAACCTGGGGTTCTGTATCCTGCACACAGATACTTTGGATGCGAATTGGACCAGCCAGAGATTAAACCACCAACCTCCTGATGACCTGCTCTACTTCCTGAGACACAACCACTGAAATAAATTTAAACACTCTAAACCAACTAAGGATCTGCACTTAGCTTAAATCTGGGTTCTAACTTATTGCCTTGAAGCCAATAAATTTGCAGGAATGCTTAATGCTGAAAGAAAGAATGATAAATGATTACACAGGAGATTTATTCAATAAATTACCTTTCAATGCTTTGACCATACATCATCCAGAAAAGAAATCCAGAATAGTGTTTTGCTTGCAATAACAACAAACCCTAGCAATGACAAATTAAAGTATGAGCAGATTATTAGAACACTACACTATTTGAATGAAAGAGTTTTCAGTGTGTTCCAATGCTGTCCTTGTTAACAGAGTATAACGAAAATGAACTCTATAAATGTTATTCTCTTCCTTCTTCCTATTCAGTGTCAGCAGAGCATAATTGCCTGTTAGAAAATAGAATCACAAATGTTTGTCTTTCAGAGATGAGGCACACTCTGGCAGTGTGCCTCATCTCTTCTTTAGAATAGCAGAGTCAGAGTCTGCACTGCCAAGAGTGACACTGGCAACTTATAGACAGCTGATGCAGATCCTGATTAGGCATTCAGCTGGTACTTGCTATCATTAAGATGGAACTCAAACTTAGCATTAAATGAAACTGGAAACAAGTGACTTGCTTCCCCATTGGACAGTAAGAATTTTCTCCCTCACTAGCTTGGGATCAGTTTTAAGACTTATTTAAGGACTGGCTTGGCAGCCTTTGCCATCGGCGACAGATGCTCTGGTCCCCGAAGCTCCGGGCCTGGCAGCTCAGCGTGCAATAATTAGACTCTAGCAGGCCAAGTATACTTTGTGTTGTGTGTCAGTGATATTTTCTGCCTCAACCCATATCGCCATCCCACGTGCTTGAGATGACACAGGGGAAACATGACAGTTTGTTTTTGTTTATTATATCCTCCCTAGGTATCCTACTACCCATCCTTTTTGCCATTTTGCTTGCCATTTCTTCTCATCCCTTCATGTCTCTATACCAAGTAATCTTCAGACATCAGCAGCCAGAGCCCAGTACAATAGCAAGTGAAACTTTGTGCATATATTTACCAAAAAAGTCTGTTTATGTATGGTAGCAGGAGTTCATTTAAAAAAACCTTTAGGGTTCAAGCATACCCCTTGCATAGACCCTTTCCCTTGTAAATGTCATGGCTGTAAATACATAAGTGGTTTCTTCTTAAGTTGTGGCTTCATACACATTTCCTGAGTGAAAAATGACTGGCTAGCAAAGGTTAACAGCCCCCACCCTATGTAATCATCTGGCAGGAGGAAATTAGCTTACCATTTACTTTTAGCGATTACATTCTGTTAACTATATACTTATGATTAGCAAACACTCTTACTAGTTTAGTGCCAAGTATTGAGTTTTTATTTCAGCCATTCAAACAGTTGATATCTTTAGTTAAAACTACTTTTTAAAATCTGTTTTTTAGCTAGCTTTTTTTTAACTGTTTATCCAGTACGTTTAGCTAACAAATTCAACAGTTAAAGTTTTAGCTAATAATTTCCACCTGGTTTCAGAATTTTAGCTGTTTCAATTATTTTGATCTTTTGTCATGATTTTATATCACAATTTCATGTACTTACACTGTGAGCTAACCATTTCAATGTTTTATATGTTTAGCAGACAGTTTTAACATATTTCATACTATTAGCTTTTCTAATAACCCACTGTGCCATTTTTTTGCTTTCATCTAAATATATTTTCTTATTTCTTTGTTTTGACGGTCTCTCTCTATTGCTCTTTTACTTTTAGTCAACAGTTAAATTTTCTTCTCAAATTTGTTCAGGTTTTAGATTTTAAATTGTGTTTGTCTCAGGTTAGGCTTAGTCACACATGCCCAGAGATCAGTTAGTGACTAAATGGCAACCGCCAGTTGCAAATGAAAAATGTGGTGGAAATGGTTGCCAGTCGCTTTGAAACTCATGGCTAAAGCCCATGCAGGACGAGAGACTGATCAGGCAGACGCCGGCAACTTTCATCTGCTATGAAAAAATGTGTATTCTCCAATCTGTCGAATTGTTTCTGGTAGTTGCTGGCATGAAATTGCAACCAAAGCAATCACATGGAGCAACGTCGTCTTTGTGACCACATTTCCTTGGCGACAACCAGTAACCACTTATATCTGGTTGCGGAAAATATATATTTTCCCTCATGACCAGTGATCACCAGGTGATGTCTCGTCTTTAAGGTACCCCCAGATTAACTGGTCTAGGGGATTTCACAATTGATTTAAATAGTCACTGTAGTTGTGATGTACACGTCTAAAGTAAACATTATGCTAAAGAAAATTGTTGAGAATTATAACTAAAATATAAATTAGTGTCTAAATAACTTTCCACACAGTAAATCCAAACAGGGACTGATGGTGTCACTCGAATTACTTCTACTCATATCAGAAATTCTTTCTATTCTTCCAGAGCCCAGACAGTGTTTAAGCCTTTACTCATAAAAATGCCACTAGATCTTCTATGGCCATGCAATTTATCTAATTGGCTGCAATGAATCACAAAGAATAATTGAAAGGAGAGTAAATCTGTACAATCGCTTGACCATATTCTGCAGCATTATGTCAATTATGAAGAAATCACATGTGAGCCATGTGCATCTGCACAAAGTAAACATTTATAAAATTTCTTCCCCAGTAGTAATTTCCTCTTACATTATCTACCACGATGTGAAGAGGTTTTCTCAATGCCAGACCTCTGTGGAACTGCTCAAAGGACTATGTTAACTGACAGGAACCATCTTACACATTTTTCCTGGCTGATTCTTTTCTGAATCCAGTAAGAAAAATACGACTGATGATACAGTAATGAATCGTGCACTGCAGCTGCCATCTGGACCCATTTTTTGGAAGAAAATAGTAATCCCAGAGAGCTGATTAATGTGATTACATGGCTCACACTAACCCTGGAGTGGACTTTACAGACCTGTCTGAGGAATGCCTCCTTATTGGCCAACTCGTTCTCCAGTTTGTCATTGATGTCATGCACAGAGGTGGCTTCTCTTTGGGCACTCAGGTAACGTTTCTCCAGCGTGACAATCCGTTCCTCCATGTCTTCTTTCTGACACATGGCCTGTATAGAGACACACAAAAAAAGACTTAATATAACATCAACTTTGGGTGTAATATTTTCTCCTGCTGCTTTGCACACATGGAATTTGTACACTACTTTAATATCAGCACCAGATGAAAACTCCATATGGTGTCTGGACCCTCCCTTAAGTGACAGGGTGCTTGGGCATTCAGCACCTAGAGCCACTAAGCTTCCACATCGAAACACTGAGAGACAGCTGAGGTGGTTCAGGGATGACTAGGATGTCTCCTGGGCACCTTCTAAATAAGGTTTTTAGACATGTCCTACCAGGAGGAAAAACTGATGACATTTCTTCACCGTATACTGGGTCTCAGACTAGACCTACTATACGGTGAAGAAATGTCATCAGTTTTTCCTGGAAAAAGTAAAGGAGTCTGGGTGTCTCTACTTAGGCCAGGATAAGCAGTAGACAGTGAATGGATGGATATTGCAGATATACAGATATTGCAGGGTCTTTACTTTACAATATAAAGAACCTTGAGCTCACCATTATTGTTAATTGGCACTGAGTAAGTAAAACTGAAGTGAACTGAATTGAATTAGAGATTCTTCAACCACTTCCTGGAATGCACACAGAAAGCAGACTGCAAGTCTGCAAAATCAAACTTTTATCCCTAGAATGTGCACAAAAGTTAATAACAAATAAAGCCTCATAAAATACAAACATGCGCTGCTGTCATGAACAGAGGCAACATTATCATGGAATTTCTCAGACTTAATTTCCTCCATGGAGAATTGCTTCAGACACAAACTTGCGGTAGCACCCATTGTTTCCAAACCATACAAATAATAACAGTTATTCTTAGAACACTAAATAAACTGCTGCTGTAAGAGAAGGCATTGCAGGGTAATAAAACACGATTGGCCTGATAAGGCCATGTTTGTCAGCCCACGATAACTGCCTCTGCCCACATCGTTAGAAATCAATAGTAATTTCATCCCCAGGCGACAGGGGCATCAGCTTATGTTCATATCCAGCCCACTTCACTGATATTAACCTTGCACAGACATATAATAAATAGGACTATTATTTGGATTTTAACTGCCAGTTTTGGACACAACTGGCTCTTTTTTGTGCTTCATGCATCAACAGTCTTGAACCCGTTCAAGAAATACAAACGGTTAGTTATTTATTTAACATTAAGTGTTAGTCTGAGGCCTAGAGAAGTGTTTATCTGAAGTGTATATTTAGATATTTTTTGAAGGACTCTTCACTTAACTCACTTCACCCGATGAAGGCATTATGAAAGACCTTATACGTTCACAAGTCAATGTGCATGTTTTTATGTGAGAAAAAGACGGAGTAATAAAGAGCTGGGGAGAGTGTGAGAGCATATGCAAATAGAAGCTGTTTTTAGACCACTGCTCGCTGTCTTTGATGTTTCTCTTGCAACTGTTATCCCCATGCGAATATGTGTGTGTGTGTGTATGCTTCCCCCTGTGCTCAGTTTCTGTGCTGTGACCTCTTTGATGTCCCTCTGGTACTTGTTGTTCATCTCCTCTGACTTGATGAGGTCCTTGCGGGCGGTCTCGAGCTCCTGCTCCACCTCGGAAACCCGGGAGGAGAGGGAGGACATGCGCTCCTTCATCTGGGCCAACTCGTAGTTCTGCTTCTCCAGCAGGTCCTGCAGCTCGACCACCTGACTCGCCTCATGGGCCGGCTCCAGAGAGCCATTGGACAGACGCTGGAGGGGAAAGAGGGGGACATGGAGTAAGAGGTCAACATATGAAAAGGGAAAATTATCCAAAAATATGTATGCGTCATGAAGCACAAAATTTGCCAAGGGATGTTTGGGGATGATTTCTAACTTTTAGTGTACTTTAAAAAGAATTTAAGAGCTTTTTTAAAAATGAATTCCCTTGCATGACGTCTTTTAAAACTCACAAATTAAGTGAGGCTTGTGGTATATAGGTAATAACGTAATAATAAAGTAGTAATAAGATCACTGACAAGTGAGGGTTAGTACAGGATTTGGAAATTGGTTGTTAATGTTGTGGCTAATCAAAGTAAAAAAATTCTTTCTTTCTTTTAAGTTAACACTCTAACTAGAACTTTTTCCTTGCAGTTGAAATAAATCTTTTGGATGTTAAATTATATCCCGAATCCTGAAACGTGTCTTCTAAGTCCATTCAGAATGCACACTTGCCCCACAATAATCGCGATAACAAGTGATTATATTTTCTTTCTTTTTTCAAGTGTTAACCTAGTAAAAACCCCAGTACCTAAATCAAAAATAGAAGTTTGAGCTTTGAATGCAGGAAAATAAACACACTATCGAGAATAAAAATGAACAATGGTGCAAAGCAATTTTCTGATTTCCTGTCATGCCTCATCTTCCTGTCGTGTATTCAAGTGGGCCCTGAGAAATCAGCCATGCTTCCACTTCAGATACCATGTCTGCTTTTGAGAATGACATACATTTGCATTCTAATAAATTCAAGTTCAGGAGCTCACGGCTTTGGTTCTTCCCCTGCTTTGATTCTGGATGGTCACAAAGACTGAATCACACCAGACTCTGCTGGAGAAATTGTTTTGACACTTGCATAAGTAATCTGATTAGATTTGCAAGGTTTCCACTCCGTACAGCTCTCCTGGTCTCTGCATGAGGTAGATTAATGAGGAGGATACCGCAGAGATTCAGCTTACAAAAGGGTTTAGGGGCAAGAACAACAGAGGAAAACAACCTTATTATCGGTGCTAAATAACAAACATGCATATTTTAAAAAAACAAATCTTGCTTTTATGCTCAATTGAGTTACAGTAAGGTGAATGAGAGGATTGAGGGAAACTGATCTTTTCATTCTCCATCTTCCTCTGTCTTCCTGCTGTATTGTGAGGCACAGCTGCCCATCTTTGGCCATCCATCTGTGAGGACAAACCTAATTGGGCCTCTCTGTCTGCTGCCTGTGATCAATGATTCACTTGAGCAAGGAACAGGATCCACTAAATCACACCAGTGATTTTAATACGAGCATGCCAGCAGTGGGCCATGCTCATAAAATAATTTTATATCTTCTTTATTGCCAAATGGCTCAGCTGTCCCTCTTTGTATCTGGGGTTTCCATCGATGGGCTTGTTTCACAGATTTGTACCATTTAGGACCAGGATAGTTTAAAGGGACAATGTTAATAAGAGTTACCCAACATTTCAAAGGGGCGTATTGCTTTTTAACTCTGAATGACCTTTAAAAATGGTTAAGTTTGGCTATGAAACAATGGCTCTCATTCATGCCTGCATGGATAGATGGACAGATAGTCTTGAGATGCCCCTCAATTCTTTATATTTTGCTCTGAGAACTAATGTTGGCCTTGAGCAATAGTTCTCCAAACTTTCTTAAGGTCTTTCAAAGTTTCTTCTTTGAACATAAGATGCTTTTTCACTAAGAGGAATGTTTTTGTTTATTAGGCCACTTAACGCTGCCTAATGAATTATCTAAACATAAAAAAGCACCTTACTAAACACATGAACTACACATAACAGACAAATAAGCAAATAACCACATTTTAATTGCATCTAGGCACGTTAGTACTAGCAGCCTGTTGCAAAAACACATCATTTGTTCCTATTTCTTTAGTTGAATATACAAAAAATCCCAAAGATGATGTAGTTTGTCAGACAAAATATTCTTGTACCAACAAGGTGATTCTCAAAAAGCTATTAGCTTAAAGTGACAGGGCTAAAACACCGTCTACAGCAGATAAGCAGCATTTGAAAGTCACGTCATTAAGAAATTAGATAAAACCTATGACATGAAACCTAAAAGACAGATCTGTCCCTTCAGTTACAGAAGAGGTGGTCTGTAATTCAGTGGCGCAAAAACTGATGGAGTGACAAACCAAGATATA